ACGTTTTAAAACTTTAATGTCCTTTTTAAGAACGATCAGTTCCTTGCAATACGCTTGTATAACATTCATAATTTTTAATGACTCTATCCGACAAGTTCAAAAAGCAAAACAAAATAAATAAAGATCTTTTATTCTTACAATTTAGGTATGTAAGAAAATATTATATAGATACGTATGTGTATGTTTATTTTTTTTACCGGCGTTAGACATTTTAAAATATCCTCCGGAAATCTCACAGTCCCCTGTACTAATATATTTGAATACGTCATTGACCATTATATTATCAACCGGATGAAATTCCATATTATAGATAAACTTAGTTTAAATATGAACAACACGCGAACATTATAATAACGAAGTGTAGTTCAATATAAAACTATAGCGTTACCAGTGTTTTTATTATTATTATTATTTATTCGAAACCATTTTCGACTCATTCATTTACAATTCATTCAATTCACACTTATTAATTTTCTCGTTCAGCTTGTCGTTCCATTGAGAACCATTGCAAACCATTACAAAACTTCCCTGTTTACCCCCTCACTCTCTCTTTCTCTTGTACCCATGTTACATTCATATTTGCGTTTTCTTCTGTACCTTTTTATAACAATGCTTCTTAAACTTTTTTGTAATGCGGCCTCTTAAATTTAATAGAAAATTGTTGCGGCCCTCTAAGCTTACAAAAATCAGAAAATAATTATCATTTTTTATTTTATTTTTCATAAACGCATTCGAAAATTTGTCAAATAAAATAAATTTATATACATATAAATGTTGCTCGGTAATATACTTACGGCTTTCTAAGGGATCATGGCTCACAGTTTGAGAAGCACTAGTCTATAGTATCATGATGAGCAATAACGTACACCTTACGAAACCTGAGTCTTTTCAATAGTTTTTCTCTGTTTAGTTTTTTTTTTATCAATATATATTTTATTAATTAGCTGTGAGCTCTTTAAAAATTTCCAAACCGACTCGCGAAGTTAGTTTTTTTTATAAAGGATATAACACTTGACCAGTTATTATTGTTACTGTCTTAATGTTTTCTCGTAAGTCTGCGAAACTGTAATGTATCCGGTACATAATTCACATCGTTAATGAATATTTAATTTAAAATGTTTTAAACATTTCTTCACTAATTAACATAATATTATTAATTTTTTTTTTTTTAGACATTCCTTTTGATAGTCTCTATTTTTTGTATTCATTATGTATATATTATAAACGTAATGCACGATAACGATATTTAAAATGTATCTGGGTAATTTTAATATTTGAATAATATGCAGTTTTTTGTTTTTATAAAACTTAAACATGCTATTTTCGTGTTTAAAAAATACATAAAAACGGGTTATAACGTAAGAAGTCCTCTTATAAATAACACTACGTCCAGAGGAAGTAATTAATGAATGAATAAAAAAAAAAAATATATCTATATACGTATTAAATGATATTATTAGTGTATAGGGAAATAATTATGGATAGGATAGCGTAATAAGAGATTTGTGAATCGCGTAAATTCACTTTTGACCGCATACTAGTTAATATAACCGTGGTAATGGTACCGAATGGTTAAATGTTCGTGTAACAGTCATATAAAAATACAGGTCAGGATAAATATTTACATATAGTTATATTATAGTTATTACTTGTCATGTGCCATAAATGTGTTACCATATCCGTGTTCGGGTCAAGCGGTATAAAAATCCGCTAACCACTTTGATTTACGACCAATAAAACCTATAGGTTTTTAGATTTATACACAGTACGCTAATTTTCTTTGAGCACTATCGAGTTTGGACCAACAGGTACAGGTTAAGTTTTTCCGTTTCTCCATATGGTTTATCTAAAACTGTAATAGGATTTGATCGATTAAGTAATACGTTTTAAGTTAACAATCATTTTGGACCAGAGTTAGTAATATGCGCGTGGAAAACGTTTTAAACGTTACTCGTATAATACACCGAGTATAAAATAAATAGTTTCGGATGTAAAATTGTATCTAGTTGGTAGGTATACACTGGAGAGGTAGTTTGTTGTAAAAATTCTTTGTGTTTTACATAAAAATAAGAAAAATCGTAAATATTTCGGCTTTTCAAAACATGTTTAACCAAACTCCGCTAAGAATCGTTTTTCATTTGCAATTGTTAATCGTTCCGTATATACATATATATATACGGAACATATACATATACATATATGTATACTCAATTTTCCATCTACTTTCCTAATTCTCACCTGCAATAGTGGCCCGCTCATCGACGAAGTACCTGAAGTACCTATGTCCGTTTGTTTGGTTTTTTTTTTCTTGTTTTTCGTACACATCGAGAAAAACCTAATTGAAACATTTTCCTTAGACTACTAAGCCATTCTCCTAGGTTTCAAAACGCCGTAGTGACCATGACCCATTATACCGTGGACTGTTATACAAATTATCATAATATATAATTCGCTTTTCGTTTCATTCACGGATTCCTCGCACAACTCGGTCGCACGGACACCGGACGCCTGGAAAAACTTTTAAGCCGTGCGATAATGTAAAGTTTTGGCCCCGTCGGTCGCGTGCGGGCCAACAATAATAGAGAGATAACTTTCGTTTAAAGCTTGTTTGCCCAACAACCGATCGTAAATAAGTGGCCGCAAAATCGAGCGTGTTTTCGATAGCTATAGCTGCGTAATGTGCGTAAAAGCTAATAATTCTAAATATTATTGTTTTTGGGCCCGAATATATATGCACAAAAAATCACCAACAAATGTCCTAAAAAATAATCAAAAATGACCTTGACAATTTTACCGCGAAAATGTTTTTGAAAAGAACTTAAACTTTAAACCATAATTTATTTTTTAAATGTAGTTTTATTAGGCGATTAAAAAATTTTACTTGATGCGGTGACGATGTTTTGACTGATTCAAATATATTTCGGGGCTGTAAGAAGACTACCTAACCTACAAAAATATAAATTAAAGATTTTTTTTAGTTCTACGATAGACTATTTACCTTTTCAATGTTTTTAATAAACTAAATATCAAAATTGTCTTTACCAATTGTCTTTAAATAATATTTTGAATTAGCTAAATATAAATTACAAAGTTGTGTTACGTACTCATATGCATTAAAACTAAGAAAATTACTGATAAATGCTAAAAAAAAAAAAAAAATGCTCTAAAAACAAGAACAATTAAAAAATACAAAATAAATGTTTCACCTTTGAATTATCTGTTACGTTTAACGAAATATGTACTCGAAAAAAATTGTTCAAAATCACTCAATATTGTGCACGACTTTGCATTGAAATCTGGCCCAATATTCAACTGAGTTTTTTTGGTATTTAAAACGTGTACAAATCGAAACAGGTGTGTCAATGATATTATTATGTTCAATTTTAAATTTTAAACATCGCCGGATACGTTTAAAATACGAAAAATCGAAGCGCAAAAAAAAAAAAAAAACGTTAAATACGTATGTAGGTCAGAATTATTCGCTGGGCCATTTACCTAATCGAGTGGTGTCTAAAGGTTGGGCGGCGAACTCAATAATACTTACAAAGGCCAACATATTATTATTATACGCACTTCATATTATTGTTGTTCGCGTAACTGTATAACATCCGTCGGTTTTATAATTTATACGGCATTCTAGGTTAATAGATCTGTTATGACAAACGCGTGTTCGTGTAGCGTTATTATGATATGCATAGTACCCACGCAGTTAATACCCATAAAACAGAATAATATCAGTATTGATTTCAAATTCAACGTATATTAATAATATATAATGGTACAGACTATCGCTGTAAATTTATCGGGACATTGTTGGTAATATTTTATCAGCCGAATGTTTGAAGTGATTATTGGATGTTTGTGCGTATTGTACTGTATGGTTTTCATTTTTCGCGATCGGTTTTAGCGGCGGCATCGGTTATGTACATATTTATATCGACTACTAACTACAAATTTCCTAATGTATGTGTTTTTTTTGTTTTTTTTTTTTTTTTAGTAGGAAAAAATTTTACACACCTTCAAATCACACCTTAAAAGATGAGGATTTTTTGACCGATAGTACTTTATTTGGAAGATTTATCGACTTAAGGGATGAATCACGATTAACGCTACTTTGCCGCTCAGTATCGTTTTTCGTTTTTAATGAGTTTTCATTGCGCACAGTTTATAAAACTAAATTACTCTGTATATTCAACTCTACCGAAAATTCACGTACAAAAGTTACCCACCCGTCAGCAGTATCGTCTTTTTAAAATGGTTTCTATTCATGGTAGGTATTTCAAGCGTTGAATTATGATAATATAGCTGTACGTTTTTCTAACGTTATTTGATTTAGCAAAACTGATATTATGATATAAAAAAAAAAAAAAAATCTGGCCTTGTAGTTAGGCTAGTGCATGAAGGGTTCCGTATTGCTACATGGAAAACTTAAAAAAGTAAGAAAGCTTAATCGCGATCAAAAATTAAAACAACCTAACGTTACCGACCACCAGGAGGGATCGGAGGGTGCGGTTAAGGTTGTCGGCTCGGTAAGGTGACCCAAAGTTAATCTTTGTATTTATTTTCGATAACGTAATATTAATTTTCGAAATAATTAACTATTTATTTTAATAACTCAAAATTGTTGTACTTTATCATTATTACATTGTGTTATAGATTGTAAAAATACGGTTTGAACCGACGAGCTATCGAGAAAATTTCATTGGACCGCACTCAATTGTACTTGTTTTTTTATTGAATTTATGACATTTTGGTGTATTTTGTATTATTTTTGACTAATGAAAATTCAAAAATTCTGCGAACAGATAAATTCCTTTTTCGGCGCTACATGAATGTGTATACTATATTATCGACATTATGTTCATGAGTATGGTACCTACAACAGGCTATTACTGTGAAAAAATACGAATTTTATAGTATAATCATTACTGTTAACTGTCGAACTCAAGTTTTTTTCCTAACATATATTTTCTAATAAAGATAACATGTGTATTTAACAAAATATGCAATAATATTTTTACACCAATTTTGCACCACCATAAGGCCACCCAAAATATTTCTAGATGAGAGCGCCTGATGAAAATTTCGCTCCTGGAACCAAAAATTTGAAGTTATGACACTGTCAACCGCACGAAACAATAGGCATTTTCGTATGTTTTTCAATAAATTATTCGTTCATCGCGTGTATAAATTGTTTTCCATTGTATAAATAAATAATGTTCCCTTAGATTCTGTGAACCTTAAATATTTTAAACTAAAACAGTAATTCGATTAAGTTGAATTTCAGAAATATAATTGAAAATTAACTCGATAGTATTGCGAACAAATGTATCGAGAAAGTTTTAAGTATCGACGATACGCTTTGATTGCTTTCAGTATACATGAGTAATCGCGAGAAGTTGATAGGGTAATTGGGTGAAATTAAAAGGATAGTACAGGGATAGTGCAGAGAAGTGGGATCGATTTTTGTGATTTTAATGTTTAATTCGTGCCAACGAAATACATGGAGGTGATCAGTCACGCATCTGAAGCTCTATTCTGTAATTCGATAAGTGGCCTTATCAAACATGTTCGGTTCGTTAAGCTATCAATAACGAGCATTATCGACAAAAGTAAAAATGGACGATTCTCTGAATAATTGATAACGGAAACAAATCGCCGAACTACTATCAAAAATATCTGGTACTGTATCGGACTATTTAGGATGACCGTTAAGCCTTATCGAGTGCTATAGATTAGCATTTATCGAGAGATTACTCAAAACGGAAACCTAATCGTAATGTATTTCTGTGATTGTAATTTGTGAGTAAAAGAACACAAACTAATAATATTAACAGACTAATCAATATTATTTATTTATTATTGATAATTATTTTGAAAATTTTACTTTTAATATCAGTTTTAAAAGTAATATACGTTATAAATTAAACGTGTAGAAGAAAACGTTATCATTAAACCTAACCGAAAATTTCGTTAAGTTCCAACGAGGTTGTCTTCAAAATATTTCCATCTGTAAATTAAATAATTGGTATTTTAAATATAGAATCGATTTTAAAAGCCTTTTAATTGGTTTAAGGAAACGCAATATTTTTGTTAAGCTGCACGTTTTGGTTATATATGGAACGTGAAACTTGCGGCTTAAACGCAAAAAATATTTTTTAAAATGTAAAATTGTTGAACGTAAAACTTGTAATTGGAATAGAAACAATATAGCGAATACTCTCCAGAAAATCGGATACAATATTAATATGCTCGGCAATTAATAGTAAAATTAATCGATATTTTCATAAGCTACGCGCCGTGATTGGATACGATTTTTTTTTCATCCGTGATAGTTTCGTCATAGATCGTTATCGACGTGGGTGGAGAGTCAGAGTGTTGTACATTTTCGACTCGGACCAGTATTTCAACGGGCACTCCTTGTAAAAGATGAAGACATTAAGTAATTATAATTAGCAAATTGTTTTAAAAAATGTATGTGACACTTAAAAATGTCACATTAACACCGAACCAATTATCTGTCCGTCCGCTAAAACTTTTATTGTAAAAATTCAATTTACCGATTTTGGATAATAACGTTTACAGCATTTTTAGAACGTGCATTGGCGCCACTCTAAAAACGTCGCTTCAGGAGACGACCTGCATCGTCTTAATCTGACACTGGGCTCTGCGCGGTGGCATGCCATTTTATGAGCGCAAACCAACGATAGGAAATCGCACAGTCGATACATTTTGGAAATGTTTATACTTAATGGTTTATCGGTAATACTTGTGTCGAATAAATTCGCTAAATGCACAGTACCGAGTAACAAAACAGAGCTGCTGAAAGGATGTTGTATATGGAAAATAAAATTATGCAGACCAACCGTGTTCCCTAGAATACTGAATCCGATCCATTGATGAATTTCCGAGAATGCTAAATCTGATCTACTGATAATTGTATATGACAGTATACCGTTACAATACGGATCATCAAAAATCACATAATTTACAACGAAGCTATTATTTAAATGTAAAAATCAAACAGAAATTATTGTTCGTATAATCTGTTTTTTTTTTTTTTAAATAAATTACATTAAAAAAAAAAAAACAAAAACGATTTCAAGTTTAAATCGTTTGAAATGTTTTTAAAAGCTCGGCAAGAAATACCGGGGAGAACCCGGGGTGAGGGGATAATGACAGGGACGAGCGCGCGCAAGAAAGAGACGATACAATTAAAGTATAAAAATAAATTATATTACCATACTCAGTACTCACAATAGAAAACTTTATTCTTTGATTTTTTCAAGTCTTAAATGGTCTTGTTGGATTTATAACAGGTAGCTTTTAAAACTAATTCCAAATCCGAATATTATAAAGTCCATTTTCCTGTAGATTTAAAACGTGCACAGTATTCAATTTCCTTTAGTTTTTTTTTTTATTTTTTCTGAACTTTGATCGATATAATTTCAGTATAATTTATCACGTATATATTATGTAGTATGTAATGCGCGCTCACTTAAATCATAGTGAAAAACCTAAGTTAATATATGTTTAAAATATTATAGTGAAGTTAGATTATATACATTTTGAACAGCCTTAATATTTACGATTTTCGTCAACATTTGATTTTAACTCTTATAAAATAAAAATGCTTTACACTCATTTTTTTTTTCTTTTAACCACAAAGTACGTCTTTCAATGAACCATTTTTTAAATTTTCAAATATTTCTGTTTAATCTGACAATTGTATCCACAGAGTACTTACCAAAAAAAAAAAAATCACGTAAAACTAAAATGTCTACAAACAGCTCGAATGAGCTCAAATATTTTGAAATTTTAACCACGTCTAGAAAAGGCAAATATAAGTTTTCGTCGAAATTTCAAGTCTCTACGCGCATTTTAAACTGAATAACAACAAAAAAAAAATAAGTGATAATCGTATCAATAAATATATATGAATAAAATTTAAAAATAAAATTATATCACTCGAGATTGCGGTAAAAAAAAAAAAAAAAACCACTATTTTTAATATGTCTAATATTGTCCGTTGAGTTCAAGCCACATGTACGACGTGAACATCAATCGGCGTAATCAAATTATTGCAATAACACAGAGTTGAAAATTACTACGTATAGGCGTCTATAATGTTCACGAGAAACAATCCCTGCGAACGAAAATAGTTTAAGACGTTCACATAAAATTTCCCGTAGTCTCTATCGCGGATTTTATGAACCGTTTTTAAATTCCGTTCTTATAGCAACGCGTGGCGCGTATTATAGTAGTATTACTGGTAGTTGTAGTAGTAGTAATAGTAGTAGTAGTAGTAGTAGTAGTAGTAGTAGTAGTAGTAGTAGTAGTAGTAGTAGTAGTGGTAGTAGTAGAAGTAGTAGTAGTAGTAGTAGCGGGTATACATTTTCTCAGGGCTCGAAGAAATAATCTTTCACCTGGTCTGTGTGTGAGTATGCTTTTACTACACGTCTTAAAGAATGTCAATACAATATGCATTAACGCGTCCTTTTCAATTTTCGTTCGATTTATCTCTGTCGCCTAAAGAGCACCTACCCATTTTATATATATATATGAATTTCTTATTCGGAGGAAGTTGAACTTTGTTCGCCCGATTTCAAAAGCTGTAGGTCCCTCTTCAATTGTCCAAAATCGAAGAGATAGGTTAGGCACCCATAACACTTGTTTGTGTATTATTCTCATTCAAAACATTTTCAGAAATTGGTTTTTTTTTTTTTATCCCGCGCCCGTTTCACTGGTATGTACTTAATACAAAAAAAAAAAAATAAAAAAAAATAATGATTGTTTTTCCGTCCCTCAAGCAGCTGACGCAGTGCGTGCAAATATATTTTATAATTTTAACGCGCACACGCGATTTGCGTTCAGAATGATTTCTGTTTAACGAACCGGACCGACGATAAGAATAACTATGTTATATCGACGAATAATCTTTAATTGTATTTTAATATATTTTTTTTTTTTTTTTGACGTTCTAAACACATTGGAGCCACACACATTGTGTTTGTTCAAACCGTTATTATTTTATTATTTTTACAGTACGTTCTTCTCGCCTTATTTGCCAAAAAGACAATGAACATTATATTTCCCGTGCAATTTGAATTTTAAATTGCCAAACGGATTATTATTTTTCCGACCGTGTTGATATAAATGATATAAATTTTGTGTGTACAAATTGAAAAAAGAAATCATGTGCGTCTTTTATCTGAGAAAAAAATCGTGGTTTAATGATTTGTGTAGATATAAAAAAAAAAAAAAAAAATAATAAATGTAAAATAAATACTTAATAATGTATATATGTGTATATATATGTAGTTAACACGATATTGTTATTTATTTTCTCCATCAATATTACTGCATGACGTTTGACTTTATTTTCACATCAAATGAAATATAAATTGAACGTCGTATTACATTTCCATGTATTTCTGACCTGCCAAAAACAATTTTGTGCAAACAAAGCCAAATAAAAACTAAAAATAGAAAAATGTCAAATGTTTATAAAAACCTCAAAAAGCGCCGGTTTGTTTTGAAACTTATATCACATCACATATAGAAAAGACCAAAATATTTTGTGAAAGTTTCAGCTCCGAAAAACATAAACAAAAAATAACGTACGTACACGTTATTTCCGTAAACTTCAATGTTTTTTTCCCAATAATTAGAAAAAGACAAAAAAAAAGACCCGCTCAATGTATCAACTAGGCCTAAAATTCTACAGAAAAACTCTCTTGTCATTTTTTTGATTGAAACAAGATTGCTTGTAAACAAAATCGCGTATATCATACAATCAATACGTTACTCACTACGTTTAGAATGTAAATGCAATTTTCAAAATTAAATTTTAAATTGTCAATGTTTTTTTTTATCAAACTTTTATTTTTAAAAAAATGTACCATTTTTCTAAGAATGTTAATTTACGAATGGCGTTTACTGAATAGTCGTAACTCGTTTCGTTTTGTCGTTAAAAAATATTGACTGAGTGATTTAAATAATTACTTGGCACAAGCAATTCGATTGTATAAAATACAATAATAGTTCATACAACTGTCGAGGAAAATCGTTAATTAAAAGAATACATACAGCTTGACGAAACAGGTTATTTCAGTTTAATAGCTAAATTTAGGAATTTTTTTTTGTTGGAATTTAAGATTTTTTTTTATTTTAATATAGCGTTATTTCTTCGGCATAATATAATTATTTTTCGATCATTTGGACCAGCTGTGTGACTTTCAATTAAATTAGTATTAAATATACAGTTTTTCTTTTTCATTTTGTTCCTAGTCAATACTGCCTTAATAAAAATAAAAAAAAATATTCAAATGCTGCAGGAGTACTAGGATGGCTGAAACCTTCAATCTTAAAAACGTTCAGCAATATCTATAAATGGCAACTGTGCAGTTTTTTTTTTCCATTAATCGAATTATTTGGTATAATATTAGGTATGGTAAACTACAGACTTATAACTGACGTATGCCCGTGTTACTCTAATGCTTTTGGTAAAAGCTGCATAACGGCTGTTTTATTTAATTCCCGTTGGCTTTTATATTGGGACGATTGCAGCCGAATCGTGAGATTCGCACAATTTTACGAGGCGCCAACCGATACCGTGATTGTTGTAGCAATATTTATAGTACCAAGGTATAATGAGGACTCGGACAGTGTAGCTGGAGAAAATGAAAATGAATAAAGTATAATGTTTAATCATTCAATTTATAAAGCGAAATTAATTTTTTTGTTTATAATGTACAGATCTTAAATGAAAGTTTCACATAACAAAATATGATACTTATAAAAATATCGTCGGATCCCTTTTTAATTATGATTATTTTTTTTTTTATAAATAATTCTGTTTAAATTCCGACAATTACAATATTCATTAATCATACGCCTTAAAACGGAGTTAAAATAAAATATGCGGGGTCCAGAATTTTACCGTTCAGTTTAGCACCACATAGATTTGTAAGGATCCTAACATTTTATATTCCAAATTTTAACGCGCTCCCGTGTAAGACTTTTCAAAGATGATTTCGGTCCACTAACGCTACGATTCGTTGCCTATTTCTGTCTTTCCCATTGTCAAATGCCACTTCGCCATCCACCACGTCCACCAATCTTTAAACTTTAAAAATCTTTAATCTTTAAAATTCTTTCTGATCATTTTTTCAATCTATGACGTCCTCATGTTTGTTTGGTGTCTGTAGGTCTCCGTCTCGTGTTATTCGTTCGATTAATCCTTTTGATTCTCCACAGATGTCCGACCCATATCATTCTGTAGCGCTTCTTAGGACTTTTATATTGTTATTGTTTCACCACAAAATCGTTCCACATCCACGTTTGTGCCTATCTACCATTCCACACTTGCTCGACTAAAAGTAAGTGGCTATTACTAATTTGAACAGTGACATTTCGTTTTTATTTTCCGATCAATATTTTGATTTAAAAAGTGGCGTAATCCAAAGTTAATGTATCAATCTGTGGCAGCTATTCTTTGCCCTGATTTCTTTCAACAAATAAGGAATTTTCGTAGGGGTATTTACGATCGACCTAAAACGATTTATACTTTTGAAAGAAACACGAGGTCACCGATAAACAAAAAAAAAAACGGCCAACATACGAACGGACAATGCAATATTTTCCTTACTTCGTTTATTGCTTTTAGAACCATTATATATACGAGTGGGTACACAATTTATAAAGCCTATTCCAGGTTCGTTAAAACGAATAAAAAAAAAAAAAAAAAAAAACACAGGGCGTAGCAATGTAATGTTCGATTTACGAAAACAAATCAACGCTCGGGAATCTCGATTCGGAAACCAAACCGTGTAACAACAATAACTAATTAGCATTCTATTGCGAATTACAGTAGTTGTGCAATATTATTAAACATCGGCGTGATGTAAAGTATCTGCAATTCTGATCCCGCTGCAGCAATGTATATACAACTCGAATACCTACGTTCTAAGTTTCGAATCAATTTTGTTTGAAAGCACTTTATTACTTGTTTGATCTAAATTAGAATACGTTCCACTGATCCGGAATCCTTTACAATTAAACTACATAAATTATTTCTACTAAATTCAAATCCGTATAATATAAAACGTTAATTTTCACTATGCGCTCGCGCGTGTTCGTATATCATGTCAGGGTAGTATTTAAATGCCTATAATGTCAATCTGGCTCGTGCAATTTATAGTATCCGTAACCTTACGCATTACGCAATTTGCAGAAAATACACTTCCTAGCCCGAGTTTGTATATAATATTCATTATTATCCAAGCTACGCGATTATTTAAATTTAATCCTGTTCAGTTATTGTTTTACCTTACCATTGCATTTTGCAGTACGCATATTGAAATGTCGACTTTTCATCCATATCTGAAATATATTATTTCTGTGATTTCTGCATGTCTGCACTCCGCGTCGAATATTAAATATGTAAATTATACGCGTTCACGTGCATACTGTATATACTATACCACTAACTATTAAGTTAATAACAAATATTACAATTCCAATATTGCAATTGTATAATAATTTCAGTAATATTTATAAGTATATAAATAGGGTGTAAACATCGTATACGATCGAGTACACAAACTGACCAATAAATCGCGTCTTGAAACGTCGATAAAATATATCATCGTTTACCGTATTATATCGAAAACACGCGGCATAGATAATAGAGCACATATTTCTAATGTCACTAAAAAATAGACGTTAACAAGCTAATCTAATAATCGTTATGAGCAAGTTCATTTGTTGCACATTTTTTTTTTTTTTTTTAATGTAATTCAATTAAAAATATTCGTAGAGTCTTGATGGTTTTACAGGAAACTTATATTTGTCTTTTCTAGACGTGGTAAAAATTTCCAAACATTCCGGTAGTGTTTGTGCTATTTATAGATTTAAATTTTGCTAGTTTTTTTATAATTTTCATTTGGTAGGTATTCTGTGGATGCAATTGTTAGTCTAAACAAAACTGTTTGAACATTTTACAAAGGGTCTATTATAAGTCGTAATTAGTTGTATAAGAAAAACAATTGAGTGTAATGTATTTTTATTTTCTAAGAGTTTTAAAATCGAATTTTGACGAAATATTAAGGCCTTTAAAACATGTTTGTTACAGGTATAAATTAAATAAATGTGTGTATCCCACCTTCTTAACTATGCACCTACAACAGTGGCTACACCTGACCCCAGTATCAGCTCTCATTATAATTTTCTTTTTTTGAAAATGTCATATTTTAATACCGCTTATTTATAAAAAAGATTTTTATCGTAATTATTTAAGAAATATGGTTAGAAAAAGCCCTTTTTTTTTTATACCCTCTAGCAAAGGCAACCCAGAAATTAACAAAAATAAAACTAATTTAAAAACTGATAGTTAAAAAATAAAAGAATGATATTGTCAACTATAAAGTAAATAAGTCCACCCTTAAAAAATAATACCTACTGAAACCACCCCTCTATGCTTAACAGGATCTCGAACCTCCCTCCCTTC